TCATGGATGATGGGAAGCCTTATTCTCATCCACAGCAGTATAGGAGTATTGTTGGAGCATTATAATATCTAACCTTCACACGTCCTAACATTGCCTTCTCTGTCAATCAAGCTTGCCAATTCATGCATAATCCCATAGAGTCTCATGTTGTTGCAGTCAAATGAATCTTAAGATATCTTAAAGGTACTCTTGATTATGGCATTCATTTTCAGCCTGACACTCTTAACTTACAAGCATGTAGTGATGCTGATTGGGCTAGTGATCCCAATGATTGTCGTTCTGTTTCTGGTTTTGTTGTTTACTTGGGATCTAGTCCTATTTCATGGGCTTCTAAGAAGCAACATACAGTCTCATGCTCGTCTGCTGAGGCTGAGTATCGAGCTCTTGCTATTGTTGCTGCTGAGCTAACATGGATTCGACAACTCTTCTATGATACACATGTTCCACTACTTATTACACCTTTAATTCATTGTGATAACATCTCTGCTCTTTCTCTTGCTTCCAATCTATGTTTCATTCCAGGATGAAGCATCTCTAAATTGATTATCACTTTGTTAAAGAATGTGTCATCAATGGTGACTTGCTTGTTTAACATGTTTTTTTCGCAGATTAGTTTGCTGACAACCTTACTAAGGGTCTTTCTTCTCCATTATTTCATCATCATTGCTCCAATCTTATGTTTGGCTCTTCCATGCATACGATTACGAGGGAATGTAAAGATATCAACTATCAAGATGATGCCACATGTCAAGAGGTTATGGGATGAAGTTATTAATATTATGTTAAATAATTAAATCTGTTAATATTGTTAGGCAGTTAGAAACAGTTAGCAAAACAGTTAGAAAAACTATTAATCATTGAAGAAAGAAGCTAGTTTATGTCTATAAATCAGCTATAAATACAACTGCAATAATATAACAATAGTGTGGGAAAATAGTGATTAAATTCATCTTCTTTCATTAACTGCTCTGCTTTCTCTACATTCTTCATTTCTCTTCTTAAAACTTTCTTTCAATTCTGCCATCTTCACAGTCTTTACTGGAAAAATAAAATGGTAATAACCAATACTTTATAAACATGATAGGTATGATTGCACACTCCTATCAGTCTGCACAATAAATATTACCTTCTGAAATATATCACCAAGTCATTACCAACACACAATAAGATCATCGATCGTGATTATGTGAACTTGTCTAACAGTGACTAGGCTAAAATAGTTTCCAGTGGTTTTACCAAACTTACATTAGATCTTATTCTCAATGGGGTCCTACATATCCCAAAGTTAAGTGAATTTGTTATCAGCAAACTTACTCATGCACTAAAATGTATTGTGATATTTTTTCCTGATTTATGTGTTATACACGACATGGTTACAAAGAGGACAATTGGCCTATAATAAGTTGTATTTTCTTCAAAAGAGTTAGGAATCTAATGAGTTATATATATTAAGAACCATTAGTCAAAAATTAAGGTGAGATGATTTAATTGAATATGACTTACTTAAATAATATTTTAGAAAGTAAGAACTACAATATAATTAATATATAGATTATATTTTTAGACCTAAAAAAATCAAGTATGAACTTGATTGAGTTAATTTCTAAAATTATCCTGAATTAATATATAGATATTACTCAAGAGATAAATTGATATTTTATCAAATTATAGGGTTTTTTATATTTCTCTATAAATAATAAATTATGCTTTTTATTTAGTATAATTGTTTATTAAATAGAAAAACTACATATGTCTCAAAATATAGACCTGGAACTCTAGGCATATCTATCCATCTCTCCTAAATAGAGATTTAGAAGATTTCTTACTAGTGATTCGTGTGAATTACCATTGAAAATTGGATAATTGGACAACTTATGGCTTGTGACAACCCAATATTTAAAAAAAAATTAAAGAAAAAAAATTAGATCTTTAAGTAATAAATTACTAAACAACTCTAAATATATCTAATAAAATACTTGAGACTCTTGAATAATTTATTATTATTATTTACTCTGCAACTATGATATTTAGGAAACCTAACAATTGAAACTTTTTTAAAATGAAATATTATGTTTTTAACTAATCATTCGAGTTACCTTTAAACATATTAAATCAACTGCATCATGTTATGACAATTTTCATAGGCTAATTTTAAGTTAAGACTATGCAAAGAGTTAGGTCAAGAGAATTTAATATTGACAAGTTGGATCAAGTTTAATAATAATTATAAATAATTTCTTTAGGTATGAACTTTTTTTATTGAAAAGCTTTTTTTATCTAAATCACAGGGTAATGCAGGCTGAAAACTAGTAAAAACTACAATAAATTGATAATTTTTCATATTGAGTTGTTAAGATACCTATTAGAGTTGTATAAAAAGAAAAGAAAAAATAAAGAGAAGAGGTTTTAGTAAATGTGATCATTTCATTGCATTTTTTACTATTATACAAAAAGTAATTAAAGTGTTTATGTTTGCATAATTGAGTTTTTTATTAAAAAAAACTAAATAAATTAAACTATATATAGTTATAGTTATAGTTATTTGAAGTTAAAAAGAAAGGCTAGTCAGTGTCCTAAACATTTAACTAAAAATATATCAAACCTCTTATAAAATAATTAATCTTCCTCAACAACAAGTGTACATCGATCCTAGCTACCAGTCGTGCGTACGTGACTGTCAAAAATAGGACCTTTGAGCGAGGCAAATCTACACGAGATCAGCTTTAATGACCCTTTTCATTTTTGTTTATGTGATAGTGTTGGTATTACATAGGGAAGTATGCATGATTCATGTGTGATCCAGACGGATGCTAGAGGACTGTTTAATAATGTTGTCTTATAGTCTATTTCTAAAGAATTTTGATTCAATCCTTGAAATTAAGCCGTTTCGTTTTTATTAAGAAAATTAATTTAATCCAAAAAAATAATCTATTCATTTTTATTTATAAAAAGATATTACTTGACATGTTTAAAGTAATTTTACAAAGTAAAATAAAATGCTTATTTAAACTAAAATTTAAGTTTTGTATTAAAATAATTTGTAACGGTGATAAAGAATAATATAGGTTATATACTGGAATCTCACTATTGAGTTGAGATGATTATTTGATATGTTATCAGAGTTTTGATAACCAAGTAGTTATAAGTTTGAATCTTATTATTTTTATTTATTTGATAAAAAATCAAGTATAAGGTAATATAGGTCTATTTCATTTTACAGAATGTGTTAGAAAATAAAATAAATCATATATTGAGACCTAAATTGATAATCCATCCCAATCTATATTTTTATATATTTTTAATTATGGATTGAAAAGTATACATTATTATTGTATCATAAAAAAAAAGTGTCTATTATTATGGGTGAATCTTGTCATCTAACTCAAAACAGTGGAGAGACCTTCTTTTATATATATATATATATATATATAGTAGCAAGGTGTTTTATTTCAAAGAACTGTTTAGCACTGGAGCAATGGTACCCCGGTTACAAAAAACTATTAAAAATACAGGTAAAAGTAGTGATTTACAAAGATAGATAAAGGATGAATGCAAAACATATACATAGAAAGAATTGAAATGTAAAAATATTGAATCATCACTTATTTGTTCACTCTAGAATATTATCCAGACTTCTAAAGAGATAATTTGCAATATATAAGAAATTTGCATTAGTAACCTTCAATTAGAAAAACAAACAATGAAAAATAAGTTTAAAAATTGTATTTCAAACTCGCATTATATCCTTTAAAATCAGTTTATTTCTTACATTCCAAACATTCCACAAAATCTAATAAGACAACATATTAAGTGATCGTGGTTGGAATTTGCTTTTTACTAGAACACTCCATTTCAAAATAACATGATCAATAGACTTTGACATGCACTCGTTAAGGCACAACCAATTCATTAAACGCTGCTAACAACACCGAGTTGCATAGCAAATTCAGAGTCTCAATCTTAAGGGTAGCAAATCCTTTCCATAACCGTTTAGTGAAGGTGAATGTACCCAGATACTCTGTTTTGTCAAGTAGCATACTACAAGACTTGACAGTATATTGTCCTGTGCTTTCAGCTACCCGTAGCCACAAATCCTCGCTATGTGTACTCAAGCTGACCCAATTTAATAAGACAATAAGATGCTGAAGTTGTGATGTATCAAAAGATCTTAATCGTCGATTCCATTTAAAGTTCCAGTGCCAAGAATCTGCCCTGGAATCCCCCATTTCTACTAGTGTCTTTGTTTTTATGGGTGAAATTTCATAAAGTTGTGGGAAACGACATACCAAGGTCCCTCCTTCTAGCCATTTATCTGTTCAAAATTTAAAAAATTTAATGGTTTCTCCGTTGCCCCCCTTGAAATAGCACTCATTCTTTTAAGATATTTGAAGCTGTCGAATCAGAGTTAACAAGTGGAGTATATTCCTTTCAAAGGCTGAGATAATGCAACATTGAAAACTAGAAGTCCATGGACAAAAGAAGGCTTGCACTGGTGTTGAATGATGTCCTGCCACCCTTCAGAATTGGGGTCTCCTAGACACCATAACCACTTAAATAACAAAGCCTTATTTTTCCCTTGTAAAGAGCCCGCACCTAGACTTCCTCTGGCCTTTTCTCTCACAACAACTTTCCACGATACCTTACAAAGCTTTCTTGTATAGCCCATAAAACCCTTCATTGGATATAAGATATAATTTGAGCAACACCCTTTGGCAACAGGAAAACCGACATGTAGTATAAGGGGTGTGAACACAAGACTGTTTTTAGGAGACAAAAACAATTCTTCGTCCAGGTTTATTCCAACAAGAGAACTCTTGCAGAAGTTTACCCTCTGCACTGAAACTAATTCAAACCACCTCAAGACCCTTTTAAAATGAAGCAATGAACTGTAATCGTTTGGTGCAAAAACCAAGGCATCATCTGCATATTGCAAATGACTTAGATATATACCATTTCCATAATCAATGCCTTTAAAATATTCAATGGCTAAAGTTCTTTCGAAAAGGATTGTCAGCCCCTCCACTGCTATATCAAACAATAATGGTAATAGGGGGTCACCCTAACGTAATACAAGTGAGCCATTGATAAGTGTTGAAGGTTTAGATCCAGAAATACATTATGAAACAAGAGATATCCACTTCTTGCCACATCCATTGTAAGACATTACTTCCTCCAAATATTCCCAAGCAACGATGTCAAACGCCTTATGAAAATCATCCTTCATAATAAACCCATTCTTCCCACTCTTCTTCACCCCATGAAGTACTTCATTTGCCATCATGAGTCCATATCTAATATTTATCATCCTGGTATAAAAGCTCTTTGAGTAGGGCTGATTATGCTTGGCAAGATAGCTTTCAATCTCATAAGAGTAATTTTCCATGTATCTTATGCAGTCCATGCATCAAACTGATTGGTCTGAACTCTGTTGACTATAAGGATTACTGCTACATGTGATGTGTTGATCCCTTTAGGCAATTTTCCAACTCTGACAAATTCAGTCACCATATCAAATATAGCATCTCAAATCAAGTGCCAAGCCTTTTTGTAGAAACTGAATGTGAAGCCATGGGGGGCTTCGAATCATCACAGTCCCATACTGCTTCTTGACCTCCTGCTCCAGTTACCTTGCTTGATTGGAAGATATTGCGTGACATGTTGCTTGTCCCATGTTGAACCTTATAGGAAAAAGATATTGCAGCCTCCTTACTACCCTTGTGAGAGGTGTGGATGAGCCCATGATGAAGAATACTTGTGATATTATTTCTTCCCCTCCTAATATTTGTTTCCAGAATTTTGTGTGTTTGTCTCCAAACTTACACCAATTATGCCGTGACTTTAGCCTCCATATCGCTTCAACGCATTTAATGACTTCCCAGAGTTTTTAGTGGAGTCTCTGTAATCTCTGCTTCCGCAAGCTGTCGATCCTCCCCTTCATGTTCCAGTTTTTGAATGGCACTTTGTAGCTGTAACAACTGATTATCCTGATTCTGAAAGTCAGTGCTATTAATTCCACCTTCTAAGCTTATTATCCATAAGATTCAACTTTCGTACAATTCTGAATCTGCCAATGTGTTCTAGACAGCATTCATGCCAAAACGATTCTACTGTCTTCATAAACATGGGTCGAGAAACCCAACAATTAAAGGACCAAATTAAATGGTTTCCAGCCCCAATCCTGATTTTGCACTCCTAGCATCATTTGACAGTGATCAGATAGACCCCTTGAACGACGTGTTAGAGTCAGCATTGAAAACTTCAAGTGACATTCTGGAGAGGCAAATGCTCTGTCAACACAACTTATTGAGTGTCCACTGAACCTTGTGTAACGATGACCACTGAGAGGGTATTCCAGTAAGTCGGAAGATGAATGGAAAGAACTGAAATCTCTTGAACCAACTTCATTCATGCATCGGCTGCTCCTATCATTCTGATTTAGTGTTTCATTAGAGTCCCCACCAAGAAACAACGGGATTTCGAAAGCAGATTGGAGGATTAGAAGTTCTTCCCATAAAATCCTGCGTTCAGCAATGGAACTCCCTGCGTATTTGAGGTCCAGTTGAACGTGCAACCCAAATAATCCTAACCATTGCCCTCCATATTCAATTGAATCCACCTTGAATGTACTTTCATTCGACAACACCAAAATCCCACCTGCATTGCTTACAGAATCTACCGAGAACCATTTGACAGAATTCTTATTCCATAAAGCGGTGACAAGGCTATCAGAGCATGTTTTCCTCCTAGTTTCAAGTAAGTAACAGACATCAATATCCTCATTCAATAACATAGTCCTAATAGAACTCCTCTTCATATATAGACATACACAGTCCACGACTATTCAGAAAAAAAAATCTTCATAATTGTAAATGTTTAAAGCGCTTACGAGTTTTGCTGAAAAATGCAATTACTGAGTTGCAGTCCAATCATTCACCTCCCTATCCATCTGTATGCTAATATCTGCTTCCATAACCGCCAAGTCTTGTGTACTCCCAAAACCCAGAATTTGCCCAGCATTTAAAATCAATGAATTTCAACGAATTCGTTAAGACCCATGCTTGAATAACATAAAACTAACAAGATATACCAAGTAATATAAAGAAAAACGCAGCTCACTTTTTTTTTTATGATCTACAGCAGCTGTGATAGTTCTCAGTAAATTTGTTTTGATTTTTAATGAGAGAAAGAGAAATCAAATGAATTTTTACATGATTACTTATCCATTATGTTAATTTAAATTAACAAAAGGACTGCGAATCTAAAAATATGTTGGGGATCTAATTAAGACTAGAAATGAGTTGAAGTTCTATGTACGGGTTGGAGACATTTTTTAAGATCTAAGCATAAAAAACAAGCATAGAAAAAAATAATTAACATTACTTCCTCATATAATAGTCACAAATTATATTAATTCTATGCGTTATTAAAGACTAATGATGAACTGTAGCTTAATGAAGCACATAATTAAAACAAAACAAGGACTCCGTTTTTCATTCCTCAAACTGTATTAGAACAAGGAAATATTGAGGTGTGCTCCCTCAGTAGACATCGCCGTTCAAACTTCAAGCTATACATCACCATAGACATCACTCTTCATCGTAAAACCAAAAACAAAAACAAAAAAATCACATTTCACTTTTTATTTGATTTTGGGAGAAAAGAAAATAAATGGCAACAGCTGCCGATATTGTTCGAGATGTTGCTATTACACAAAAAATAGCGGAAGAAATGACATCAACTCCTCGTCACAATGGAGGCATCATTGTGATCAGGAATCTTCAACTCGTAGAATTGCCGAAAGCTAATGTCCCCATAACGGTTTTTAGCTAATGAAACGACAAGTTGATTTAATCCTTCAAGAGAGGCTGCTTGATGTTGTCCCATATATTCAACCGATTTGTCGCTTTCTCAACCTGAACAATCCCAAATTCAACATCCATATGTTCTTACGAAACATTCGAAAACTGTCCTATAAAATTATCTATCTACCAGTCCGACGCTCATACGCACAATAAAATTGGTAGATAGCATATATCATTATTATTGAAAAGAACTAATCAAGGACTTTACCTCCTCACTGTTTATTAGAATAATAATATGTTTTTTTATATTTTAATATTAAATTTATTAAAAATTAAAATTTGTTATTTATTTTGGGTTTTTTGTATTGAATTATTATGATTTTAGAAAATATCTCAGTAATGGATTATTAATTAGTTTTATGATTATTTATTTTTTTCATCATAATATTAAATAAAAAATAGTCTATTTATCCAATTTTCGAATTGTTCTTGAATATTTCAGCTTCTCAATTTTTTCTTCTTCTTCTTATTATTATTGTTGTTATTATTACTATTATTATTATTATTATTATTATTATTATTGTAATACTTGAGCTAATTTTTCATACATTAAAATTAAGTTTGTTTTAGATATTGTGTTTAAAAGTATTTTTTTAATGATTTTTATCTAATTATTAAAAAGCATCAAGTTGATGTTTTTTAGATGTTTTAAATATTCTCACATCAAAATCATCAAATAAATATCAAGATAATTTTTATATAAGGATTTTAACTAAAAAATTATTAATTTGATATATTTTTTAAATAAATTTAAATGATTTAGATAGATATAAAATGATGTATATGAAAAGACTCATCCCCTGCTCATTGATAAATTGTATTATTCAATTTTTACTAGTTTTCTCTCAAGTTTTCTATTCCTTTTTTTTTTTCCTTACACTTTTTGTATGTATGTGAGTTTGCTTGATAGTTGATTCGTTATCAAAGAAATGTCCCTCTTATCCCAAAAAGAAAAGGAAAGGAAAAAAATTGTATATAATGAAAAAGAAAATGAGAAAAAGAAACATTAAATTTACCTCTTTATTCCAGTCCGTACGAAAGGTAACCCATGATAATATGATAGTTTGAATAAGTGTGCCTCCTATCATCCCAGACCATATTCCCTGTTTATATATATATATATGATCTGAGTATATATACGACAATATTAAACATGATTTTGCTAATTCAATCTTGATTCGATTTCTCTTTCAGGCCATCACATGAGGTATGGTTCAATGTACCTTAACACCGAAGTCCAACTTGAAGCCAAGAACACATCCCAGTGGGATACCAATAAAATAGTAGCATCCAACATTGACGTATGCAACAAATGCTTGCCATCCACATCCAACAGCTACACCTTTAAGAACTCAATATAAATTCAATTTTATAAGGAAGAATAATTACTCAAATGAAAGAAAGAAATGTATAACTACTGGCCTCTGATTGTGATTGTAAGAATTGATTGCTACTTCTACGGAGAAAAAAGATAAATCCTTATCAGGAAAGGGTCGCCCATATATAATAACATATGGAGTCAGTTAATTGCTTTTGATAAATGTTGGGTTAAAATATTTTTTTTAAAAAAAAGGGATCTTGAACAATCAGATCAGACAGCTAGTTAAAATATCAAAAAAAATCTCATCGGTGATACCTAGCTTCACCCCTATTTTGAACCCATATAAACTTCGAGTCGTTTGGTAGCATAGTAGTTCTAATTGAAACTGGGTTGATAATTTTAAAAATATTTAATTAATTAATATACTACAAGGATCCTAATTAAAGCTTTCTATTAAAATATAGATTAAAAAAATTATAATTTATAACTCTTTCGCAGCAGCAAAAAACACAGAGAGAAAAGGGAGCCTTGTGTTACAAGAACAAAATCATTATGCGTACTATTATGGGATTGTCCCCTGCGTAATTTAAGACCAAGGCCATAGAAAGCAGCTACTACTACTTAGGTTACAGATTACGAACATCTTACCAGATAAAACAGGCTGGATTCCATTTAGTAAAATAGAGATAGCCAAGAAAGGAGAGAGTTCTGCGACAGCATCGGCAACTGTGGAACCACCAGTGAAGGCGTAGCTGATCACATGGCGAAGTAAGAGCAGAACAATAGCTAGGGCCAGAGCTATAATGAAGGAGCTTAAAGTTACAGCCACTACAGCAAATGATACTGATTTGGGATGTCCAGCTCCTAATTCATTGCTCACTCTTACACTGCATATAACAATTAACTAAATTTAATGTTTGTGAAAAACAATTCTCCTAGCTATAAATTATTTTCTGCTATGTCAACTTGTATGTCAATCAATACTAAATCCTTCGTCCTAATGATTTAAAAAAAAAACACCTCATTGATCATTTTGCTAGTAGCTAGTAATTATACAAGTAAAGCTAACCTTGCTGCTGCGTTGAAACCAACTGAGATCATGAACACCCATCCTGATATTGTCATGCTGCGTTCAAATAAAGCAAATACTCAAAATATTGTGAATCATGCACGCATAAAAAGTGACTTAATCAAGGAATTTGATACATAATCAGGCTAGATTTTATGATTTTCCTTCGAAATTTTTTAGCTAAAGTTGATCGAAAAATTTCTACACTAACAAATTAATTAATATTGGGAGCACAATTATATGTTGCATAGTTTGCTTTAATTAAAAGATGAAAGTTTTTTTTTAATGGATAAACATTTATATATTTAAAAGCTTTCTCTAGCAAATATGATCATTCCATGTCAATCAATCAACTATACAGTGATTTTATGCAGAGTGCTTAAAGTTCATGTGCTACCTAATAATGCAACCTACTTATTTTGAATAAGTACCATGATCCGGCCCTTAAATTAAACATGATAGTGCAGAGTCGTCTCTGTTAAGGATTCCGACCAGTAATATATTAATAATTGTTCATTGAAGGCTAAACATAATAATATAATATTTAATATGATTTAGTAAATTGTTTACATCCATAGAAGAATTCTATATTATTAGAGATGGAGAAATAATAAAATACAAATACATGAAAGAGAAGGATCACATTCACTCTGCTCAACTTTCAGTTCTCATTGCTAAACTTGCAACTACTACAATGACAGCAAGGCCGCTGCCATTGCCTTTCCCTCTTTCTCTTTATTTTCTTACACGCACTTACCACTCTATCTTTTATTTTGCTCTCAAATAATACCTCTATTTATAGGCATCAATGGTAAAACAACTTGGTTATAAATTATAACATTAATGGTGACAGCACATAGGTTACATCATTTTTGTCATTGGTTGGGGCAACTATCATTGTAGCCTTTTAATAATGTCATCCCTCTATCTTAGGATAGGCTATAAAAGTTGTTGCCCATTAAATGACAATATCTCAACAATCATCCCCTTTAACATTTACATGGGCAATTGTCCTCTTGCTTCTTCAGCACATGCTTGCATTCTATAGCTCTTTTAAGCTTACCATTCCGAGAGCATTTTTATCCAAGTTTACAGGTACTCGCCAAACCTTTTAGTCACCGAAGTTACCAAAGCACCCATTTACTCACTCCAAATGATTACTTCAACCAGATGGTTTACCACATCACATCTGAAAAGTGTTAATGCTTGTCTCTGGAACAATATTCCCTTTCGAGCGTATCAACAATGCTTGGTCCGGAATGATTTTTCAAGCTTTACATCAAGGCTTACAACACCCCTTCAAACAAAAATTTCTATTTCCAAGTGCAACAGTCATTATCTGAGTATCTCAATATGATCACAAGCTCACCACTCTTTCAAGAGTTTACTCATCCAAGCGTCTGCCCTTTGTTCCACCCTATAAATAACGTCTTACTTTTTCGTGAGTCTCTTGTTCTTAGTCCCAAGAGTCTAGGTAGCTTTCCACCTTTAAAGATTGATCTATATCTGTCTTCATACCCTGAGTATTATAATGTCATTACCAAGCTCATCACCTTGACAAGAGTTAACTTGTTCCAAGAACTTGCGCTTGCCCTCTACTCATTCCTAGCAATCGCATCTTAATGCTCCACAAGTCATCCAATTATTGTCTAAGATAAATATCTTTTATCTCATTGATCTTTAACATGGGGGAAATATCCATGAAAGTCAATCCGACATTTGTCTCAATATTCATCATAGTCACTTTATTGGCTGTACATACACCTGTCCACTCATATCTAGCCACCACATTGGCTCTAGGGCGTTCTATAATTGGAGCTCCTATCATGGTTCTCACATCTTCCATCAAAGATGTCTCCGCTCGTTGTCATGTGACGATATGATCTTAGGTTTATCTCATAGCCCTCACACCTTCTCTTTA